TCTTATTTTGATGATATGAAACCGTGCTTTGCTATTTGTTTATGCTTCTGACACAATATAGTGCTATAAATTAAGACACTTGGCGGATTTTCTCATCTTTATTTAGTTGATACGTGTGGAAAAAATTACACGTTTCGAGCTCTTAAGCCCCTCTTCAGTCAACTATCCATACAGGTCTTATAAATTAAAGTAGCAGTTTACTTTCGATATTTTTTCAGCAACATCAGCTTATTCACAGTATTTTTTCTTGTAGCCTACTTGTAATTTTTCCTCCTTATATGCGCTGTTCTGGTGTAGTTCGACTTTCATCTTCTCTAAATTCGATGATTTCCGCCGTTTCAATTATAACTTCTTATTTTGATGATATGAAACCGTGCTTTGCAATTTGTTTATGCTTCTAACACAATAAAGTGCTATAAATTAAGACACTTGGCGGATTTTCTCATCTTTGTTGAACTAAATAAAGTTGAACTAAATAAAGATGAGAAAATCCGCCAAGTGTCTTAATTTATAGCACTTTATTGTGTTAGAAGCATAAACAAATTGTAAAGCACGGTTTCATATTATCAAAAAAAGTTAATCTAGTAACAAAAACATTCGATTCAGCACGACACATGTCCTGACACACATTCCGAAGAAAATAAACTACACCACAAAACACCAGGATGTGTTAAATACTGCACTCTTAGAACCTATAACTGGTGTAATATAAAAATCAAAAGATAAAGATCACCACAAATGTTTTTGAACTGCTGTGAGTTCTTCTTCAGGTGTGAAACAGAATAACTGATGGGACCATTACGGAAATTCAAGAAATATTAGAAGGTGTTACATGAGACGCATGTATGTTCATCTGGTTGAAATATCGTGACCTTAAAGTTCGGAGTCCATCAACACCTTCCAGGCCGGTGACAGAACCAACTCATCCTTAAAATTGATGCAGTTGTCATTGAAGGTTGATTTATAAATGTGAATGGCCTCTAGTCACTTAAGGTGTTTGGCATATGACATAGTGTATATGAGCTTTGCCTGGTGGAAGGCTGCCTCAATGCCCAGGTCAGTGGCGTATGTGACGAGGGCGGAAGCATTTCTCTGATGATGTACGTTTGCTATATGTTCCTGTACTCTGACTTCCAAGGAGCATTTTTTGGATATGATGTAAAGGTCTCTATCAAACTTGTTGTCCCTAATGGGAATATTATATACACCAGGGAGTCTGTTCTGGTTAGGGGGTCTTTTCCATTGCAAAGGATGTCAAAGATGGTTGGATGTCTCCTGTACGCGATCTGAATACGTTGTTTCTTGATGATATCAGTATAGAGCATTTTTAGGTAAGGATTGAATGTGATAGGACCCGTTGTGTCACGTCAGGGAGGTTATCCTGCTGGTCAGTTGTGATGGTGCATTGCGAGTGTGCGCGGTGATAGTGATCAATCAATTTATGCATAAGCCTCAGAAACCCATGGGAAGAGGCAAGACAGTAAATATGTAAAAGTTCAGCTGCAAGCACTTGTGTAGTAGATGAATGATAGTAGATGCTTTTTATATCACACCAGTTATAGGTTCTAAGAGTGCAGTATTCCTCAGAAAAACACCACACAAAAGTGCCAGTGCTGTCAGCTAAAACACACACACCAACAAAAAAATATTGGAGTAGCCCAAGACATAGCCAAAGATTGCAGCACCACAGCACTAGTGGAAATTTAAATTTGCTGACAGGAATGCTTTCAGTTAACCGGCGTTTCAGTTGACCGGTTTATGGATAAATGACGCTCTAATGTAATAATATAAAACGTTTGTAAATAAAATATTGTAATATATGGCACCACATGCAATTTTAAATTCTTGTGCTAAGAAAGTAATGCAACTTGTTGCTGGATTTTTTTCAACTTGTGGTTAACTTTTGAAGGAAGTGTAACAAAACTACATTCTGAGTCTGTGTAAACTTAAAACAGTTCAATCACCATACCTACATGCTTCCAAGCAAAACAGTGACAGCTACAGAACTGTGAAATGCTCAATAACCTGGCTTCAAGGATTGCCAAAACTTGCTCATCATTGACTGATACTGAAAGGAAGTTTTATTCCATCAAAATAATACTAAACCACATACCATTAATTTAAGATGATCTGCCACCCTGTATTGACTGGGAATATCCTGGACCCTGTGTACACCTACCAAGTTACAGCACTAATTCACTGAATTGATATTTCATCAGTCAAATTTGGATCTGCTATCATGAATAATAAATCATTAAGAAATTTACTTTCATTAATGTAATCTATAAATAATTACATTAATGAATTAATGAATGAATAATTACATTAAAAGAATGAAGGAAGTTTTGTTTTAAAATAGATTTATATTTGGTTTCAGTTAAATATTGAAGTTCAAGGACAGAAGCAGGAAGATATAAGTGATGAATCCAGTGTTATTAATGTAGCCTCAACAGGAGAACCACACCTACAAACAATTACTGTAACATTAAGTCGCAGTATTGAACCTGGTAAAGTTATAACAGTTTCGTTAAATATTTAACTTGTATTTTATTGAATTATTAAGTTTCCAAAATTTTAGGTCAAGCGCCAGTAATTTCTAGAATAGAAGCCCATCTCAGTGATGGCAGTACTCGCGTCAGTTCGACTCTAACTCCGGAAACTTTTGAACTCCTAAGTAGACTTCACCCGTCTGTATTTCCTCCTGGCAGTCTCATTCAGGTTGGTATCAAGGCTTATTTATTAAAATAAGTGATACTATGTAATGGCATCTTTTTGTAATGTAGTTGGCCGAAACCAATCAGACCTGTCCAACTGAGGTCACTCAGACGCAGCTTACACCTGTATGTCCATCAGATGCAGAATTTTGCATCATACCTCAGCAGTCCAATTCAACAAATTGTAAGATGGATGCCAAAGATTCTCTGCCAAAAACTTTAACCATAGAAAGGAATGATCAGGTGATGACTGAGACCCCCATTCAAATATGCGAAATCAATCTCCAGGATATAGGAGCAACCATCTCACGCCCCGTTATTTCAGGTAATTTTAAATGCCACTAAATTAATTTGCAATATGATTTGCAGACTTGACTGAGAATAATTTTTTTTAACACAGGTCTAGAAAATAGTTGAAAATAAAACAGCAAAGTAATTAGCCATTAACTTGCACATTTGTTTATGTATAGTCTCAATTTGTAATCAATGTTATTCAAGATCTTTAGGATTTTAAAATTATTGACATTCCATTTTTCGCTTACAAGTGATTGGCCCAAACCATTTCATCAATTTGAGTCCGAAAGCTAGAGGTCGTTTTGTGATACTTGCCATCCCCGACCTTAAAGAAATGAAGATTTTGACAGAGAAGATACATTTTAAATGTACAAGACTCTGTAAATAAGTATGAAAGATTTAAATTTAAGAAATTCTTGGATAGAGCAAACCACTATATCAAATTCCATTGATAGAATGGTTTCTTGTACTGAATCAGATTTGAAAACTTGTTATTCACGTTTATTAAATATCTTTGTTTCACTCATTGCACACTCATATTTTTGTTAGGGCATTTTGCAATTTCATCTTCTCTTCTTAAGAATGTACGTAGTACTCATAGACATTTTTTGATCTTCAGCTTCCAATTTTGTCCTGTCGTGTGTGTGCAACTAAAAATTTATTATCCTACTTAGAGACAAAATGGATTAGCGCAAGGATACTTAATAAATGTGAAAACTACATTTCTGTTTTACTCATAAGGATTTTAGATTAGTGATTTAAAATTTAATGAGATTTTGTAGTACAGGATGGAAAAGTCACTTAACACCCTGCTACAGAATATAGAATGTACCCAAAGTTAATTTGCTCATGTCAGGAACACATTAGACCAGGGAAAAACAGATTGGTGTGTGTTACATGTTGTTGCATCTTGAATGCAACAACAAAACTGTAAATGGGAAGGAGGTCATGTGACACACATTTAGGGTCAGAATTTCACAAGGAATTGATTGCCAAAAGATTTTATCAACCTACCTTCAACGGTTACAGAGTTATGTTACATGATGTGCTCAATGTACTGTACATTCTTTGAGTAAATTCTATATTCTGTAGCAGGGGTGTTAATTGACTTTCTTTCTCATCCTGTGTAATACATGATAGTCCAAAAGTTAGTTGACTAAGACATATTTTTAAAAACGGTTTGGCTCCCAACGTGATGGGAGCCAAAATTAGGGCAATGAAGAGACCGGCCAAACTCCGAGAACTGATGAGGCAAAAAGAGAGAATTAACTCCATATTATTACAGTGGAGCGTCGATTATCCGAATCAATTGGGGACTGGGGTTGTTCGGAAGATTGACGTTTCGGATAACCGATTATGTACGAAAAAATATATTAATTTATCCCATCTTGACATTTTTCTCCGTTGTGTGTCACTTTGTGTTGAATTTTCATCGATGTTAAGCCTAACGAAGACTATTGTATCGTTAAAAATTATTTTTTTATTTTGTACAAACAAAATAAATATATTGAAAAATATAAAAACAATAAAAAATTATACTTCAGAAGTTAATTTAGTATCAAAAACGTAAAATATTTGAGTAGCCGAAGA